CGTCAGCACCTATTTAAAGGACCAGAGACCTTAAAGAAGTTCATGGACTGGTTATTACAACCCACAACAGGTACTAAGAATTCCACATTAGTACACGACGAGGCCATCATCATCGCTCATAACTTCAAGGGATACGACGGACAATTCATTTTGAATTACCTGGTGCATTCCGCCCCCCTGAAACCCAACGTCATCATGAACGGCAATAAGATCTTGTACATGGAAATTTGCGGACTGAAATTCATCGACTCGTATAATTTCTTACCGTTTACTTTGGCCAAGATGCCCTCCGCTTTCGGATTCGACGAATTGAAGAAAGGTTACTTTCCCCACTTTTTTAATATGGAACAGAACCAGAATTACGTGGGGCCTTATCCACCGGCAGCTTTCTACAAACCGGACGAAATGTCTATCAGTGGACGACAGGCTTTTTTCGAATGGTACGAACAACAGACCGGAAAAGTGTTTGATTTCCAGAAAGAGTTTGTAGAGTATTGTATCTCGGACGTCGACATTTTACGACGTTGCTGTGCACAGTTTAGAACCACCCTCAAGAGTTTGGTTAAAGTGGACCCTTTCCAGGAATCCATCACGTTTGCCAGTGCTGCTAATTTAGCCTACCGTCGACAATTCATGCCTAAAGAGACCATTGCAATCATTCCGAACCTGGGGTATCATTATATTGTGAGGAAGGGACATGAGATACGTGGACGTCTGTTCCTTATACCCTTACGTGTTGAAACACAGACTTTTCCTGTAGGGCATCCCGAGATCATCACAGACGAGTTCCAGGACGTGAGAAGTTATTTCGGCCTCATTCATTGTCGGGTCTTACCACCCCGAGGCCTCTATCACCCCGTATTACCTTATCGGACGGGAGGCAAGTTATTATTTCCCTTATGTCGAACGTGTGCCGAACGACAGGATTCTACTTCTCAACATCGATGTCAACACACCGACCAGGAACGTAGTCTCACAGGCACTTGGGTGACGACCGAATTACATAAAGCCTTGGACATGGGATATACCTTAGAGCGAATACACGAAGTGTGGCATTTTGAAGAAAGCAGTCAAGAGTTATTTAAAGAGTACATCAATACCTTCCTCAAGATCAAACAGGAAGCCTCCGGATTTCCCCCCGACTGTAAGACCCCAGAACAACAACAAGATTACATTCGACAAGTCTTAGACAAAAAAGGCATCCTAATGGACATTCTCAGTATCGAGAAGAATCCAGTGAGAAGAACCATCGCTAAACTCTTTTTAAATTGTCTGTGGGGAAAATTTGCTCAACGCTTGTTATTACCCAAAACCAGATATTTGGACGAAGAAGAGGAACAGCAGCTCTTACAAGATTCGACTCTCGACATCAAGGGCATACAATAAAGAGGATTCCAATGAGGACAAGATGCTGGTGAATTATCAAGACAAACAGGAATTCGTCGAAGAATGTCCCTTTGGAAATGTGATCCTGGCTTGTTTTACCACCGCCCATGCCCGCTTACACCTCTACGAGACTTTACAATCTTTAGGAGATCGGGGCGTTTATTTCGATACGGACAGTATCATTTACCAACATCGGGAGGGAGCTTTTAAACCTACCTTGGGCAATAGTTTAGGAGAATGGACCGACGAATTAGATGGGGATCACATCACCAAATTCATGTCGGCAGGTCCTAAAATTATGGTTACCGGACCTCCAAAGGAACCGAGACCCTTAAAGTCAAAGGAATCACTCTCAGATCGAACCTCACAAGTGTCCCTAGAGACTTTAGAAAATGCTCCAGGGAGAAATAGAGGAAGTCACAGTACCTTTCCCAAAAAATTCAGACGACCCGTGATCATGACGTCGTGAGCAAACCTTTAGAGAAAAAGTATAGAATTGTGTACGATAAGAGACAATTGTTAATAACACTTTACCTTATGGTTATTGATATGTTGATATGTTGACTTTGAATTAAAAATTGAATGTTTTGTGTGTTGTTTTTCTTCTCTATAAAAGGTATTCTTATTCAACATCAAAGATCATTTCTAATCATGGGGAGTCGCGAGCCAGACCAACCCATGCGTTATCCGCAGTATGCTCAGCTCTCAAAGAGAGAAGTTACTTTTGAGCTGGCCAGTCTCTTAGGAAAAATACCAGACATACAACTGGGTTTTACTACAGGGGAGTCTTAGATAAAACTACCTGTTTTCATTGTGGAATGACTTTAACGAATTGGGATCTTGAGGACAATCCTTATGCAGAACATGCTTATTAGAACCTCCTTACATCAATCAGTATAAAGGACGAAGCTGGGTGAATATTTGTCTTCTTAAATATAAACCTTTAATTGAGATCAAACCTCTACTGAACCCGGAACCAGACGTCCAGGCTCGAGGAAAATGTCACATTTGTTTAGACGAGGAATTACAAATCGTTTTTCTACCTTGTGGACAGGTATGCTGCTGTGCCTTGTGTGCTCCTTCCTTTCAGTTTTGCCCCATCTGTTATTACCCAACAGTCCAATATTTCTGTGTTAACTATAAATAAAGACAGAACCCAAATTTGGAATTTTAAGCAAGCTCTTACAAGGTTTTTTTTTACCACATTCAGTGATAAAGAATGAGATTTTTGAATTATTCCTTAGGTTTTCCTCTGCAAGCTAAAAATAATTACACCTGAGGACCCCAAATCCAGTGAATTTCTCAAGACAAACAGGAATTTTTAACCTCTGAAGTATCCCTTTGGAAATGTGAACCTGGCTTGTTTTACCACCGCCCATGGCTTACACCTCTACGAGACTTTATTCAATCTTTAGGAGATCGGGGACAAACAGATACGGACAGTATCATTTACCAACATCGGGAGGGAGCTTTTAAACCTACCTTGGGCAATAGTTTAGGAGAATGGACCGAGAATTAGATGGGGATCACATCACCAAATTCATGTCGGCAGGTCCTAAAAATTATGGTTACCGGACCTCCAAAGGAACCGAGACCCTTAAAGTCAAAGGAATCACTCTCAACCATCGAACCTCTCAGATCGTGTCCCTAGAGACTTTAGATCAAATGCTCCAGGGAGAAATAGAGGAAGTCACAGTACCTTATCCAAACAAAATCCAGAAAACCCGTGATCATGACGTCGTGAGCAAACCTTTAGAGAAAAAGTATAGAATTGTGTACGATAAGAGACAATTGTTACCCTCTTATAACACTTTACCTTATGGTTATTGATATGTTGATATGTTGACTTTGAATTAAAAATTGAATGTTTTGTAGTTGTGTGTTGTTTTTCTTCTCTATAAAAGGTATTCTTATTCAACATCAAAGATCATTTCTAATCATGGGGAATTCCCAACAGACCAACCCATGCGTTATCCGCAGTATGCTCAGCTCTCAAAGAGAGAAGTTACTTTTGAGCAGGGATGGCCACAACCTCTCTTAGGAAAAATACCAGACATAGCTCGAGCTGGGTTTTACTACAGGGGAGTGAAAGATAACGCTACCTGTTTTCATTGTGGAATGACTTTAACGAATTGGGATCTTGAGGACAATCCTTATGCAGAACATGCTTATTGGAACCCCAATTGTCCTTACATCAATCAGTATAAAGGACGAAGCTGGGTGATGAGTATATTTGTCAGGTTCTTAGAGAAGCAGGGATATAAACCTTTAATTGAGATCAAACCTCTACTGAACCCGGAACCAGACGTCCAGGCTCGAGGAAAATGTCACATTTGTTTAGACGAGGAATTACAAATCGTTTTTCTACCTTGTGGACACGTATGCTGCTGTGCCTTGTGTGCTCCTTCCTTTCAGTTTTGCCCCATCTGTCGAGCCGAGATTCAACAGTCCAAACGCCTATTTCTGTGTTAACTATAAATAAAGGACAGAACCCAAATTTGGTGTTTTCTAATGTTAAGCAAGCTCCTCAGACCTAGTTTTTTTTTTCCCACACTCAGTGATAAAGAATGAGATTTTTGAATTATTCTTAATTAAAAATTCTCTATTGGTTTTCCTCTGCAAGCTAAAAATAATTACACCTGAGAGTCTATATAAAAAGGAGACCCCAAATCCAGAGATCATTTCTGATCTGAGTGAGGGACAGAGCACACCGTGGAATTTTTAACCTCTGAGTATCTTTGGAAAATAGAAGAACCAGAAGGGACCTCTGTAAAGGGAGAATGGATGAAAAAACAAAGAGGAATGTATTCAAGATTTCTTTGATAAGAATCCAGGACAAACAGGTCTCAATGAAATCTACCTGTGTAAGAGAATAAAGTTACCTGATCCCATAGGGGACAGCATCCTGGTCTTATTAGGACCCAGACATCCCAAGTATCGGGAATTCAAATGGAAAATCAAATATGTCTTGGCTCAGCAAAGAGAGGGACCCGAAAGCACTTGGATTCAAGGGAAATGGATAGAAAAAGCCGGAGATTGTATTAAAGATTATGGCAAGAAAGTGGTCCCAAAAGGAAAAGACTGTGCTTGTGAAACACACTATTTGTACATAAGGAGATCGTTCCCCATACAAAAAGAACTGAAGAAAAGTTTTGAATGTTTATTATTATGATGTTATGAATAAACCATAGACATCAAACATTTTGATGTTGTTAGTTATTTCAGGATACACTTCACTGAGATAGAAAAAAAACAAGACTTGCTTCTTTTTATTTACACTTTTATTGTTCAAATGGATATTTATTTCCATCATATCAACATAAAGGACATCTCCTGTAGGAAGTTTGAAAAAGGTTCGTCACACACTTTTCACAGCAGGGATATTTCATACACTGCCCACAATTCCATTTTCCTTGAGTGTTAAATTCCCAGCAGGAAAGACATTTCTCAGTTTTTCTATTTCTTTTCATGAGCTTGGCCCAAGGGGGTGTGATTTTCTCCACCGGATATTTCCACAGGAAATATTTCAGGCACCAATCACAGGCACAATCTTCTAAAGAAGGGGGGGGGGGGTCTTCTATCACCCAGTGTGGTATAGGTTCTCCACATTCACTGCATCCCCAAAACCAACTAACAACTTTTCCCACATGATTGTAGGCGGCGTATTTCCATACATCTTTCGTCTTCCTATGGCAGTGATGGCATATTTTCTTTTCTTCCTCATACCAATACATAATTCTCCACGCAAAAGACATGATTGCTAAAAAATGAGCGCAGTGAAGTCAAAGCGGCGCTCTATATACTCTAGGTTTGTGATGATGACGTCACAATCACGGACTTGAATCCCTGTCAATTATTACCTGTGTATTCAGCATTAAAAAAACGTCCCAAAGTCGTACATGAGCAAAAACGTAGGTCCAACTCATTTTTGCACACGAAAAACGTAGGTCCAACTCATTTTTGCACACGACCTTACAAAAGACTATATAAAGCGGAGCTTGGAGTACCCTCCGCTCATTGTACCCAATTTTGAAAAAGGACACTGAGCAAGTCAGACGTGTTTTCCCAAAGATGCAGTATCGTTGGTATTGTGAGAGTCCCGTCAGTCAGTTTATGTACCAATTATTAAAAGCGTCATTTTTTATTGACATCATCCAGGCTATTCCCTGGAGAATGCGTGGTTATTTCACAAATCATATTTTTTTTTTTTTCCACAAGTATTTTTTGTATCAAATTAAAATTTTATATCCGCCCAAAAATAAAAATTTATTTTTTACTGCTTATGTTTTATCTTAATTTTTTACAATTCTTTTTATCAGCAATTTAAAATGGGTTGTGTTATCTTCTTAAGTTTAAAATTATATGAATACAGTCAAATATACCCATCAAAATTTCAAAATCCCTTAAACATGATTTAGGAGATTAAAGTTGATCATGGTACTCTCAATTGTAAAAGTTCGTCATGCTATATTGGATTTCATTGGCTTTACAAGATCTACGTAGCCATAGGGCAATTATTATAAATTGTTGGGACGGCATTACTATAATTCAGTCGCAATTTGACCAGAATCTCTGTAACTCGTCTGTGAAAACAAAAGACAATGATAACACAAGTGATTGATAATTTTTTACATATTATCCATTTTTAGATGTAAATAATTGAATAAAAATTTGCCATTTTTTTATATTTTTTTTTAAACATGCTGAATAAATGCAATTAAATTTCAACTGCTTTTAGAACACAAAAGTTTTATGAAAAAAGGTCACCTACACGTTTGTTGCATCAGTTTAAACGAGGCGTATAGGCTTTACTTCTTTAATTTTAAGGTATCGGTATTCAAAAAAGGGCAAATAACAAAATGAACACAGGTTCGGCGAAAATATCCGCGAGCAGAGGTTACTCCTAGGAACTTGCGGATATTTATCGCAGCAGTTTTACTTGGTTTAAAAAATGCAATATTGAAAGTTAAACATGCAGGAAAAGCCATAAACTTTTCTTT